TTAAGGAACCCTTTCTCTCTTCCGGAGACAACTGTTAATTAAAGTCCGCTTGAGGCAATTCCTGTTTTTGTGAATGATGAGTTAATTTTTGATTGTACATGAAGAAAAAGCTTCAGAGTTTCACAAGAAGGAATATTTTTTACTTGAAAATCACTCATTATTTCTTTTCTGGCGCATAATCAAATCTCCAGTCTGTTCTGTGACTCCGGCTGTCCTTGGCTTGCTGAGTTATGGCCTAGGGGTCAATTTGTGAATCAGCGTACAGTGTTATGAAGGCGAACATAGCCTAGATGTGATTTTGCCAGTCTGTAAGAACTCCGCCTTTTGCTCTTAATTTTCCAGTAGCCGTCATGTTTGTGGTGAAGCTCTACAGTGACTATACGTTCATTTGAAGTCCACACAGTAAGATCTATAGGAAACATTGACTTTTATTAACTTACTTTCTAACTGTAAAATAGTTTGTTTATCCTAGTCAGGTTGTTATTGAAGAAAGGCACAGGATTAAATTTTTCAAAGTATCAGTTAGTCAGCTGTGTATTTTTATTAAGCGGTTTCCATGCGACTGTTAAAGTTGTTATCGCTCAATAGTTATTCAGGTGTTGAGGGGTAAGCAATAGGGCACTAAAAAATCGCATATGTCTCGATAGTTTCCTTTCTTGGTGCACTCTAGAGGGATAATAGCTGCTTGGCGGCTGGGAGACATGCTATTTGCCATGTAACGGAGGCTTTTTTAATTAGTGAGATCACTCAATATCAACAGTGGTTTTTAGAAAAGGTGAAATATTTTTAGAAACTGATGTGCTTCTACCAAGACATTTTTTTAATAAATTAGGCCGAATATTTTTAGCAGCAAAAACTTAAGGAAAATGAAGGTTAGTAGTAGTTATAAGCCATATCTTCCACAGTCTTTCTTATCTTTCGTATTACGATAGTAATTTGTGCTATCTATTTCGGTGAGGGCACATTTTTGTAGGGACTTTATTCTAGAGGTTTGTTAGCGTTACACTTTTGATGGGTCTTTGAGCCTTCTGCCGTTTGAAGCGAAAATCATAGCGCAAAAATTAAGTAATGGTCTTTTTGTGACAGTGCACTTAAAGTGTATTATCTGTTGATTTAAATTTTTGATTATTATGAGCTTATCGCTCATTTTTTTCATTCTTTTTAGATAGGGGACTCTCTGCCTGTCAGTTCTTTTGACTTTTTACATCGTTATCACTTTGAATATGAGCAAGAAAAAGCTATTGCTACTACAACGAGAAACAGGGAGAAAGATTTCCGTCAGTTTACGGTGAGAAGCAACGAGCGGGTTACTGCTGTGGACCACTTCCAGGTTTTCGTAGAGAAATATCTTTTAATTTTTTTTGCAAAACTCATCGATTTTTTAGTTTTGTATTTTTGATTTTTAGGATGTTGTTCATGAAAATTCTCCTGTTTTCGAAATTCGTTTTACGTGCATTTTTACCTTAGCATTACTTTAACTTGGTAGAGAAAGGTTTACAGCAAATATATGAGTTTTTTTAATTGTACCTTTAGGAAACTCGCCTCTTAAAGTTGGATCTTGCTGAAGAGGGCAATTGCTGGTATTGTAATTTTCTCTTTTCTTTTTCTAGTTTCCTTTCTTTATTTGACTTTTAATAACATTTCTGAAAGTGTAAGTTTGGATTTTTCACTGTGCAAGGGTATGTATATTTTATTCTTGTCTTATCTATTTCATTCGCCAAAATTTGCTAAATTTTTTCAACAACATGTTGTTTTTCCAATTCTGCTCAATGATGAAATCGAGAATTTAGAAGCAGTAGTTTATGTGACTTTTGGAACTAACTAAATGTGCTTTTGTAGTTACAGACCTGGTGATATCCTTTGGGTGCATCCGCATAATTTGAATGAATCGTTGGATATTGCCATCGAAGCACTTGCATACAGTGATACCGTTTTAGACAAAAAAATTTTTATTAAACCAAATGATCCGAGTATCCAGAAACCATCACCATGTTTGGTGAAGGGCAAGTTACCAGTAAATGTGGCATGCTTAGGGAATAGCTTAAAATGAAGCTTTTTTTT